GATAGCATCCTTAAGTATAAGATCATGTCACCTGCAAATGGGATAATTTAACCTTTTCTTGTCCTATTTTTATCCCTTTTATTTTTTCTCTTACTGGTCTAGTTAAGTTCCATACACTATATTAAGAGTGGGCCCCTTTGTTTCATTTCATATTTTGGAGAAAATGTTCCCATTTTCTCCACTTAGTATAATGTTAGCTTATAGGTTTATAATATGTAGCCATTATTATATTGAGGTATGTTCCTTCTAGTCCTATTTTGAGGATTTTAAATGATGTTGGATTTTGTCAAAAAAACTTTTCTGTATCTATTGGAGGTGATCATGTTATTTCTGTCCTTACATCCTTTTGTATAACGTATTGCATTTATTACTTTGTATATGTTGACCCAACCTTGCATCTCAGAGATAAAGCTAGCGTGATGGTGATGTAAGATATTAATATGATCTTACATTTGATTTGTGAATATTTTGTTGAGAATTTCAAGATCTATGTTCATTAGGGAAACTAGGCTATAGTATCTAGTTTTGGTATCTAGATAAAGATAGATATCAGAGAAGTTCCTTAGCCCACTTAGAAGAACATGTATTTTTTATGTTAGATGTACTGAAACCAGTGAATAGATTGTATGGTTGTTTGATGCTGATGTTTTTTTTTTTACTGGTTTGAGTTGCAAGGACCTATTTAAGGTTCAAGATTTATATATCAAGATTTATCTGGCTTTTAATGTGCATTATTGTTTACTTTATGCTATTGTGAAAGCCTTACATTTATTGGAAATTTTTTATACAATCACTATAACAACCTGATGACTTGTTTACTTTATTGATATGTAGTTGCTTTCTTTACTACTTCTACTTAGCTTTTCTTGGTGCGTATATTATCATATATGAGAGCTTCATTTAATTATTTCCGCATGCAATTGTGTAGCCTAAGTCTTTATATTATCTCATATGTAATATTCCTTGTCAGTGCTATCTTTTGTTAAAAGCCATTATATAATAAATGAATTGCTATAGTTAAGTTGCTAATAGTCATATATATTATTGGTTGACTCTATTATACTGTACGTTAAAGGATGATAGTATTTAGGCTATTCATATTTTATCTGAAGGAATTTATTAGGAGAAAGTGAAATGATTGGAAAACTGGAATGGCTCTTACCGGTCACCAAACGTAACCACTTGAGTTCAAGCCTCAGCACCCACATAGTAGAAGAAAAGAAGGAAATCCCACAAGTTGTCCTCTGACTTCCATGCATGCTGCACACACACACACACACACACACACACACACACACACACACACACACTTAATTAAAATTAATTTCAAAATTAGAGATATATTTCTTACTAAGTGAAAATAGTTTAAAAAGGAATATGAGATGAACTATTTTCAAAATCATCCAAACTGACACATTTAAATGAATCTAAATATTAGCAAGAGTCTGGAAAATTGTTTCTGTAGCAAAGTTGGATAACTGCAAGTCACTGGTAAGATGATGACGTGGGTTTTGAGCATGAATGACCTGTACACAGTACTGTAGCTTGTGAGTCATTTTAATAGACTATTTCTACTTTGTAATTTTTTAAACATTTTATTTATGAAGTGTTTAAGACTGTAGTTTTCTCCTGAGTATACAATCTAGTTATACATGGTCGTAAAATCCCATCCTAATGCTCTCCGTTCAACTCTGTATTCCTGATGTGCAAAGTGGTTGTTTTAATAGAATATTTACTACATTTCCATTCTATTTCAATATATACTAACTTTTAATCACAATTTATATTTTGTTAACTGAACTTTTTGTTTGTTTTACAGGGGATCTTTCCTGCAAATTATATTCATTTGAAAAAGGCAATTGTCAGTAATAGGGGGTAAGTAATTAGCCTAAGTTAATTTATAATTATTAGAGGTTGCAGAGGAAGTCTGACATGGTTAAATTTTTTTAAAGATTTATTTCATTATTATGTATACAGCGTTCAGCCTGCATGCATACCAGAAGAGAGCCACCATGTGGTTGCTGGGAATTGAATTCAGGACCTTTAGAAGAACAGCCAGTGCTCTTAACCATTTAGCCATCTTTTCAGTCCCCTAAAATTATTTTTAAACGTTATTTGCATTGGTATGAAGGTATCAGATCCCCTGGAACTGGAGTTACAGACAGCTGTGAGCTGCCATGTGAGTGCTCGAATTGAACGTGGGTCCTCTGGAAGAGCAACCAGGGCTCTCAACCACTGAGCCATCTCTTCAGCCCCTGACAGGATTTTTAAAAATATGTATTTATTATTATATAGAATCCAGAGCTCTAATTTTTAAACCATATTCCAGATAAATACCCTTAGCTGTAAATTTTGTCCAAGCAGTTACATATATAATATCTTTTTATAAGTATATTAGTTATGACTTTGAGAATTTGTAGAGTAGTTGTTAGAGATAAATTTGTCATTCACTTATGTCAAAGTGAAGGAAACTTATAATCTTTTATTTATAAGTAAAGATTAAAATTTAAAGGTATACCTTGTGAATAGAAAACATTCTTATGCAAATGAATATATTAAGCACACATTTGAAAAGCCAAGATAAGTTTTTGTTATTGTTTTGCTTGTTTGTTTTTGAGACAGGGACTCACTATGTAGCTTTTACTGACCTGGAACTTGGTATGTAAACCAGGGTAGTCTCGAACTCACAGAAACCTGTCTATTTCTGCCTCCAGAGTTCTGGAATTAAAGGTATATATCACCACAGTTTAGTGTTTTTATGGAATTCCTGAATGTACAAATGAATGGGTCTTGATTCTTATGCCATATCTTGGAATCTTTTTCTTTTGTTTGTTTTTTTGTACAACTCAAATGTATTTTGTTTTATTATATTTTATTTCATTAAATTTTATTTTATTGTTATCCATTAAAAGTCTGTTTGTTTTTGAATGAAGGGTATGAATCTGGATAGGAAGGAGCTGGGGAGGAATTGGGAAGAGTACAGGGAGGAACACTGTAATCAGGATATATTATGTGAGAAAAAAAATCTATTTTCAGTAAAGCAAAAGTATTTTTAAATAAAATCTTTTAAAAATGCATTTAGAGAACAACAACAAAAGAAAAACGCAATCTTCACAGAAAAGAGATGAGAAATAAATATACTAAATGCTAACATTGATTGTTTTATATGTTAAGAGTGCTTTTTGAGATATTTGCTATTGTCACGTTCTATTTTCTAAAGTTATATAAAATTTAAGTAGTATTTACTTTTCAACTCAGAAAACTGTTGACTGGAGAGTGAATAAGTATTAGAGTCTGTAGTCATTTAAAGATTAGTCATGAAGACATAAAATACTTTAGTTAAAATATGAAGTGGGATTTGATGTAGGAAATTATTTGTGTTAGTGTTTAAGGGTGAAAAACAAAAGAGGAAATACTGATATCAACCAAATAATGAAAACAACAGACATCAGTCTACTCAAATGGCTGGGATACAAAGTATAAGTGCATGTGGACACCAGACCCTAGGAACTGGAGAAAATGGGTCTTGAGACATTGGAGCTCAAACATTTGAGAAAGGGAAATAACAGGGCCTCTGGTGGTATGTATGGGTAATGTGGCAATAAGGGCAAACTATCAATGCCAAAGACAACTGGATGCTAAAGCCAATTTTCTTCGATAGAGAATTGTTTATAGGAACAGTAAGAAACACATTTTTCCCTTGATATCTTTCTAGTATCTGTGACTGACAAAGGGGGTTGTGTAACAAAGTTCAGCACAAAGGTTAGGTTTGGAGGTTATTAGTAAATCACTGGTCTTACTGCTAAGGTAAAATTTGTTATTGGGGAATTAAAAGAATTACAATATTATGACATAAATATACTATTAAAATAATTCTTTATCCTGCCTTCATTTTTCTTTGTGTTCAGAAGTAAACCCAGAGCCCTGTGTGTGATGAATACGATACATTGAGCCATGTCCAGAGTCCCTGACATATTTCTATTTCTTCCCTTTTTCCTTTTATGAAATAAACATACACTAGTTTGTATGTGTGTAAACTTGCCACTTCAAAATTTTAAGTAAGGACTGCCAAAGTATAAATACTCTATAAAAGTTGTATGAGGGAAAGAGTGTATCTAGATTCCCAATGGAGAAAGTATAAATCTTAGATGTTACAAAAATTTATTTTCCAAGTTGAAATGGCCATTTTTATGTTTTATGTAGCAAAACATAAAAATGATATTCTTAATCTGTAGCACTATGATCTATAACAGAGCTGAAATTGTGCAGAAGCACCATGAGAGTGAGGTAAGGAAGGACTTCCAGAGAATATGTAGTGATCCAGAAAAAGAGCATCTCAGAAAATACTAGCAAGACAGTGCTTCCTCATGGTAAGTGACTCACCTTGAGCTCAGGAACAATGCATGTGTCTTATTTTTAATAACTGTGAAGGCTTGGGAGACAATTCGATAGCAGAAGAATATACACCTGAATTCTGTTTGCTTAGGGAAAGCAACAAGGGCTATAGTTATAGCTATGCAGAGAATTGCTCAGGACAGCCATATTTATTGGATATACTCTTTCTCTGTGGGAGCATATTGCAAAGGTCTTTGGATATAAATCATAGAAAGCTACCTAGAATTAACTATTGTATTAACTATTGTATCTAGATGTCTAGCAGGGTCATCATACAGAATAGAAGTTATGAAACCCAGATAAAGTATGAAGAAAAAACCCTGCCTGCAGGCACTGGTGAACAACTGACATAGATAGGATCTCTAAGCGTTCTTTTGCTTTTTTATTTTTAGTTTTTGAAATGGGGGTCTCTGTAGCCCTAGCTGGCTTTGTTTTCTTTTGGCACGGATTTTTAAAGGTGATGATCCATGAAGGAACAGATGTATAAAGGAAGAACTTCATGTTTACTTTAGTTCTTTTTTTCCTCAGAAAGTTTCAATTTGTCAAATGGTGGAAGAGAGCCCAGAAAGACAATGGTAGTTTTTTTCATCAGCAAGATGGAATAAGTGCTCATTTTGGCAGCACATACAGCAAAATTGGAACAATGCAAAGATTAGCATGGCCACTGTACAAGGATAACACACAAATTCGTGCAGTGTTCATATTTTAAAAGAGAGAAAAGGTAGAAAGGAAATCCCATCCCTCAACCTTTGCAGAAACCATGATTTAACAATCACATATACAGCAATATATCTTTTTTATAAGTGGTACAGAGGCCAGTAAAGATGATGCAGGACCCCACAGAGTACAAAATAGGAAACAGCTACTTTTGAAACTTTTAAGAACAATCTCATTTGAATGAATGATACCTTTCTCCGTGATAGCTAAGACAGAGTTTACATCAGTTGATCTATTCCACTAAAGCAACATAAAATGAGTGGAATATACTTAACGTTTTTAGCATTTTTGGGCACTGCCCGAGTGACACATTTCAACCCACTTTACTGCAATCGCTGAAGTTACCTGAATAGTTTAAACTTCAGAGGCAACAAAGAACAAATAAAAGGAGTGGCAGCATACTGAAGCTTGTACAACTTTGTAAGACTAAGAATAGTGCAAAATCAAGACTTCTTCCCAGCTGGGCTAAAGAGGAGTGTAACGGGCATCTAGTGTCTCAGCTGTTCAGTACACTGTTTTAGAAAAAGGGGATGCGTAGCTCCCTGTAGTCAGTATATTTCTGCAAGATTGAATTTTTTCTCAGAGGGAGAGAGAAGAGCAGAGTATCTGGTGCCCTGGTCTTTTCAATACAGTACCCCAGGGAAGGGTGATTTACCGTGGCTATTTGTGGGTATGAACAATTGGAAGGAGACCCATAATCTTGAGACTTTCCAGAAGAATGGAGGAATAATACGTTTTCATAGAAAAGGCTTGAGAGGGTCCCAGCTTCTCAGATGAATTGTTTCCCTGTTGAAGCCAGTCACAAACACCAAGGCAGGTGACTTTTTTTTCATTTTGCTAATAGGAGTAAAAGACAAATATTTTGAAAGCAACAAAATAAAAAGTAACTTGTGTACAAGGAATTTTATAAAATATGGAATATTTCTCAGTATAGATTTTTCAGAATAGAAGGAAATGGAATGATAAATTCAGCATACCATAGGAATAAACCATTTAGTAAAAATATTGTGCCTAGTAAAATGACCCTTTAATGATAGAAAGATTTTCCAATACAAATAGTAGCAGAAGTAATTTATCACAAGTAGACCTACCTAGCAAGAAATACAAGGAAAGAGTTCTTTAAGTTGGAGCAAAAAGGGTGCTTGTTATATGCTGTAAAGGAAAATGAAAGTATAGGATTCATGGGTAAAGGCAGAGATAGAAACACAGAGACATAAATATTATCAAGGTAGTATATAAATCACTTGTAATTTTAATATAAAATTAAAAGAATTGAGAATAAATATAGTTGCAAAATTTATCAGTGAATACATGTTGATGTTAGTTGTGATGTTGGTGACAAAAATTTGGGAAAGAAATTATAGAATTTTTGTATACAATTGAAAACTATAAACTTGAAGGCTGATGAAATGGCTCATTAGGTAGCATGAGAATCTGACTTCAAATCCCTGGCACCTATATAAAAAGCCAGGCATGGTCATGTGTACCTGTAACCCTTATGCTGCCTGGGACAGACAGGAGGATCTCTGAAGCTTGTTAGCTTACAGAAACCCTGCCTTGAGAGAAGGTGGAGCATGATAGACTAGCAAGACACTTGGAGTCTTCCTCTGGCCTTCACATGGGCATATACACCCACATGTATATGCCCCCCTCTCTCTCACACATGCACATGCATGCACATACATATCAGCTTAGAATAGATGATTATAAAATGCCCTATGCAAGTGTCATGGAAACCACAAAGAAAATATGTACAGAAAGTTAGAACTGGTCTAGGCTAAATATAACTTTATATTAAAGTGATTGACTGTCATGCAAAAACCCTGTGTTCAGTCCCCAACACTAGAGAAAAATATAAAGGAAGATTATACTAGCTCGTGGAGGACACTGTGCTGACTTAGATGCAGATGTTTATTAGACTGATAGAAAGTGGTAAGGTACTGTATCCATTTTGGCATTTGAGATGATGGAATTTTCTTTTTCTTTTCTTTTTTGAGATAGAGTTTCTTTGTGTAGCAGCCCTAGCTATCCTGGAACTTTCTTTGTAGACCAGAATGGCCACGAACTCACAGAGATCCGTCTACCCCTGCCTTCTGAGTGCTGGGATCAAAGGTGTGCACCTTCATTCCCAGCTAATTTTCCAATAGCACATACAGATTAAAGAAGATGCGACTTTTTCATCAAAGATGTAGTCACTATTTAGGGAGATGTGTAGTTTGAAAAGTGTTGGGGAAGTCTTATGCTAATAAAGCACTGTCTGGCCAATAGGAATCTAGATAGGTGGGGCTAGGAATCCAGGAGGATTCTGGGTAGGAGAAACACAGGAGAGTCAACATGTGACGCCATGGGGGTAGGACGCTGGGAACTATTCTCCGGTAAGAAACATACTTAGATTAACAATTATGGGGTAATTACTTAAGGCAGAGCTAGCCAGTAAGAGACAAACAAGGCCAACAGCTTCATAATTAATATAGCCTCCTGTGTGTTTATTTGGGACTCATGCGGATCTAGAACCAGGCTGGCGCGGCAGAGCCCAGGCGACTGGCGGGGGATAAACCAAAGTGGCTAGCAAAGAAAAAGCTTCTCTTAACAGAATGGTTGTCAGGAGCGGGATTGAATTTCCACGCAAAATAACAAAAGATTTAAAGGAATTTTAGAAACAGAAGAACAGAGAGAAGCACAGATTTTTGATAGCAGCATTTTTCTCAGGTGTTTTGCTAGCGACAAGCTGAGATTCACGTGGCTCGCTTCCTGACTCGGCATAAAAAGAAAAAAAAATAAAAGCAAGGTTGTTTTAAGAGACTCTGCTACCGATTGAAAGGGATGTACGTACAGCTGGAAGTGGCAGCTTTTGCTGGAGGTCAGCATGGACTGAGGCGGTAAGCTGGAGTCACGCTTACGCCCGCCATCTTGAAATGGCAGTTTAAAACAGCCGTGGTTTTACAGTTAAGACACGTGGCCCGAAAAACATAAGGATTTACAGTAAAGTCAGACTTGGATGAACAAAACCTTTAAAGGTTTACAGTGTGCTTAAAAATATACGTGAGATTGAGAGAGAAAATGAAATGACAAAGTGGTATATAAATATAAAAGCCGGCGTTGTGGTGGTGCACGCTGGTAAGATTTACTCCAGAGGCAGAGGCAGGCGGATTTCCAAAGAGAAATCCTGTCTCAAAGAAAAATAAATAAAAGTAAAATAAATAAAGTAATAATAGATAAATAAATAAGCCACGTAAAGATGGAAAATACACAGAGAGTCTGGATACTGTACGCTATTGTGTTTTTCAGTTTTTTGCTTGCTCAGGAAGGAACTGCTGCTAAAGTACACTTGATTATAAATGCTGCTGAATTAATCCAACTTCTATCTTTTGAAAATGCCTTGACTTCAAAATTTAAGTATAAGGATATGTTACTTGGAAAAGGAGTTTTTGCTTATGTTTCTACAGAAAATGAAAAGCTAAGGATTCCTTCCAGGCTTTTGTGGTTTGACGAACCAAGACCCCCGGAAGCAGTGGACCAGGTGTTCCAACTATTGAGACAGCTAAGATGATGCAGCTTTACAGACCCCGAAAATACGGACTTATACAGGTTTCTGAGTTTTGTCATGATCCCCATGGTATGAACAGCGCCCCCTTCCAGCAGGAAGCAGTTTGGAATGAGCGACGTCCTAATTCCCATCTTGTTTATAAATCTTTGTTTTCATTTAAATGGGATTGTTTATAATTGGCTAGTGATCACAGCCAATCCTTTTAATGGTAAAAAAGGGAATTATGATATAGGTATTGTTTTTCATTTATTGATACAAATTCAAGGTCAATTTTGTGATATGTATATTTCTCCTCATGATTAAGTATTGTGCTTATACTGATCTTTTAAAATGTAATGCGTAATTAAATACAGATTATAAATAGTTACTTATAATAGTCAGAATTTATAGTTAGGTAAGTTAGGTTTTCTAGATATACAGAAAAATATTTGAGATAGATAAACAGTCTTCAAACCTCTCAAAGACCTTCAGAAAATGGCATTTAAAATGGTTTAGGGCTTTTCTTGACAATGAGAAATGTCTGCTCCTGGCAGCACCAATTACATCTGAGAGGAAGATGGGCATCGAAGAAACTTGTTATGGAGTTTGCTTTCAACATGGCAAGATTAGCCATTTGGGCAAGAACTGCCCTTGCCTGTACTTCTTGACTGTTGTTGTATCATCTGGACATGCAGGACCCACAGGAAAGTGACTACTGAACTCAGTCTTACAGGGTTCCTGCTTGATGAAGAGTCTACGAGACTTTCTGCAGGACAAAGAAAAATGACTGACAGACTGCCAATGCAGATGGACAGTTTGAAATTTCCTGCTTTGCTGAGAAGTGTTCCAGACACATTGTGGCCTATGGGCTGAAGATGGATACCCCAACGTTACAGAGGAACTTCGGGTGACTGTCCAGGCAGTAAGATGTCTCTGTCAATCCTAGTGTTTATATATTATCCTTCTGTGGTCTTTGATGGAGTTGAAGACAGATAGTTATAGTTTTCCTTAGTTATAATAAAAGATAAGTTACATATAGAACTTTGAACTCATAAGGATGGTATGGATGATATTTTCTTTAAATCTTGCTAAAATATTGTAACTATGTTCTTATTTGATAACTGTTCTGTTATATACAATTTGACTGTGTTAAAGTTAAGACCTTTCTTTTTGTTTAAACAGAAAAGAGGAGATGTTGGGGAAGTCTTATGCTAATAAAGCACTGTCTGGCCAATAGGAATCTAGATAGGTGGGGCTAGGAATCCAGGAGGATTCTGGGTAGGAGAAACACAGGAGAGTCAACATGTGACTCCATGGGGGTAGGACGCTGGGAACTATTCTCCGGTAAGAAACATACTTAGATTAACAATTATGGGGTAATTACTTAAGGCAGAGCTAGCCAGTAAGAGACAAACAAGGCCAACAGCTTCATAATTAATATAGCCTCCTGTGTGTTTATTTGGGAC